AAGGTTTCCCCTCCTCCCACATGATTCACGCACCCACCACATTGCCACATATTTGAAACTTATGAAATAAAATGGCTCATATTTGCTCCATGTCAGATGTAGAAACTACTTTGAAGATACAGTAAAACTTGGTTATAGCAACATCGGTTTCTGCGACACCTTGTCTATTGCGTCAAATATTCAATGGCACAAACTAATTCCTCATAAAGCAACTGGTTTTATACCTTGCTTAGTACGACATGCACAAATGCATCAACCTCGTATGTAACGTCATTTTCATTCCTGAATTTCTCTGATATCGTGGGAAAGTTCGATGTGTCTGCCCACCCTCACTTTCTCTACTTGCTGACGTGACTGTCCTGGAAGAATACGACCGCGGGCTGCAAGAGGAACGTGGGTTTCATGCGAAAACAAGGGTGTGGGGTGAGACTGCGTGAATAGTGCAAGAGGACGTGGCAGGTTGTTAACTGCATTCCTTTCCTAGAATCTCGTCTAACAGGACCTCACATTGTCTACTTACCCTATAGTGTTCCTGCCTAAACCCAGAGAAGTGCAGTAGCGAAAACATGGCAATGAAAAGGAAAGTTTTAAGCATTGAAGAGAAAGTTAAAGTGATTCGTGAAATATTTTGTGTATTGTCAGTGAAAAGCGCTGTAATATGTCTTTGAAATTACACATTTGGGCAATTCCACGTTAATGTTACGTTAGTCTGTACTTAACTACGTATTTCACTTAAAAATGCAACATTTTAACTCGGTTTTTGGTCGATTTTTACGTGACTAACATAAGACTACTGTGAAAGTGCCCATTTCGGTTACAACGACATTCGTTTATAACGACACTATTTTTATGTCCCTTTGATGACGTTATAACCAAGTTCTACTGTAGCTGCATTTGCAATATTTCAGCTCTTTTCATTGGAAAATATGAAAATTGGTTAAAACATTACGGTCCCTGTGTTGTTAACGCTTCCAATGCTAGATTTCATTTAGATTCGTCGATGAGTCTGCTGGAATATTTCAGCATTCGTGTGGATACACACTTTAATTAACAACACTATTTTAGACGAAAATATCGTCTTACCAAGCTCTCGGCTCTGCTTATATTCACAATTCAGTGTCGCAATTCAGTATTAAAAGAGTACAGGCGTCAGTCACCTCTTTAAATGAAGATTTTATTCACGAAAATGAATGATAGCTGAAGACAGACTGACTAGTCTGGCAGATCCACATACTGGAAGGGGCATGCAGTAACGTAGTTGGTTGAGACACTATGTTACAAGCCGGAAGGTCGAGGGTTCGAGTCCCGATGAGGTGAAATTTTTCAATTTACCTAGTCCTTCCAGCCGCATTATGGACCTGGGGTCTACTCAGCCTTTAACAAAAATGAGTACTATAGTCCATTCGCGGAGACGAGAGAGTCCTTGTAAACAAATTCACACGGTATCTCCTTCGCTCTATGAATGAAATCATGCGGCGATCACGTGATGTGTGTCCCGTTGCAGGGGCGTCCAAAGTTCACTCTTCAGTCTGAATGCAGGTTAACGTGCGTCCGAATGCAGTAAGTACACTGAAGTAACTGCGCGCTTTGTCCACTCCTTGCTGTCAGCTATGGCGACGCGGGGCTTGCTTTGTTTACGCTAACTGTCTCGTCTTCGTGAATGGACTATAGGAATGTTCCTGCGGGGTAAAGGGCGGCCGGACCGTAAGGCTGATAACCTTACCGCTATCTGTGAGCCGATTTTCTAAAGAGAATATTGGACTCTCGACGTCTCACAACCCTATGTGCCCTCACGGCCTGTTAGGAGGAAAGCTAGCTTACATACTGGAAAAATTAATTCCTGTGACCATGGCATGAAGAGCTTTACCAGCGCACTGTGTTATTGTAATCTGATATAGCTCAGTTACAATTTTATACTACAGAAAAGTACAGGGTAAAAATTCAAGGGAATGTACTCATTAATGTGCAGAAAGTAAAGTTTTGGAAGTAGCTTTCGTCAATTTAGGGGCATTATCCCGACATTCCAGTGAAGAGACCAAAAAGAAATTATTTCCCTTGAGATCCTCGATAAATCAGTCGATGTTCGAATCGGATACGTTCCGACCCCGACATCAGGACATTAATTCCACACTCTCGACCTCGACGAATGGGAACAAGCGTCCAACACGATCTCAGTCTTTGAATTAACTTTACGGTCCTCGTGAGAAGACGTATGAGATAAATGTCCTAGTCCCACATTCTTTGCTTCAGTCTAGTTTAATTAATTCATTTCAATATATATTTACTTTCTTTCGAATGTTGTTCGGTGGCGATGCTTGGACAGTTAATCTCTTACTAAGAGTACTGTGATTATTTAATTGCTTATATTATGACCGTCGTCACAACAAGTAATATGAGAATATCTTCAATGAGGACAATAGGTTTTGCTATATATCTCAAGTGTTTAATATCGATGTAACAGTGCTACATATTTCGTCCGCATAAATAGATCATTCTCAGGCACTCGTGAACATAACTCATAAAATTATTTATAATACGGATGTCTATTCTTGCAACTAATGGCTGCGTTGCTAGTATTAGGTATATTGTACGATTTAGTATAAAATTGAAATTGTGATATGATTAAAAACATAGGGACAAAGATAAAATGAAAATGTGAAAATATAAATATTAAAAATATAAATGGCATAAAAATTAATTATGAGAACTGTTCTGAGTCCAGTGACCATTACTTTAATACACTTTAATTAACACATTTATTCACCCATCTATCGAACAATTTGTTTACTTTTCTTCCAATACAGACTTACTACCTTTTACTTGACACCTTGTGGCCTCTCTCAGGGACCAGTCTTCCTGCATGCAGCTCCGGGTCTATCAGCTTTTCCCCCCACGGTTTCAGCCCTCTTATATCCCTGAGTCGTCATCAAGACCCCAACAATTTATTTTATGACAGGGGCATTGTCGAGATATTTGGCCACTGTTGTGGGCTCAGTGGCGTACTGTGTTTAAAACACACAAATGTAACTGCAAATAGAGCCCCTTTTGGAAGAATGTTCATCGTAAGAATTTCGGATCAATCTGTCAGCCACATTTCTGAGAAAGTAATGATATATATTTCGTTACAAAACGTCAAATTACACCGTGTCACGTGATATTAGGCTACATAACATTAAAAATCATAAAATCCAGCCTCTCTGTACGATCACATCTTATTTTCTGAAATAATATAATGTAAAATCTCGTCACATAATTAAATATTATATTATTTCATTTAGGTCTAATTATATTGCGAAGCAAAGACCCAATTCTATGCAACGACTAGGTAAAGATATTCTCGCGGAAGCAATCGACAATAGAACGTCCATTGCTAGACAACGGATCAGTAAACAAGCCTTCTCAACAGTAGAGAGGCTGTGTGTTCTGCGTCGACCTTGTCGAGGGATTGTAAAGGGACATAAAAATCATTCGAGGGAGTTATTTTCAAGAACTGGGTCTAGTTGCGGAGATGGCATTCCAAGGTGACTGAGTAGAAATTGTAAGGAAGAATCTACGTGTAGTTTTAAGTGACAGTGAGACTTAAAAATCTGTTGCCAGGATACGGCTAGTAAAGACTGAGAAACTTAGTGCACGCGTAATGGTAAATTGTAAAGTCTGTACAATAGCGATATCGCTGTAATTGCCTGTAGTTCCGAGCTTAGAATGTATAAGGTGCAATAAATCCAATTATCCAATCCAAACCCTGTTTTATAAGTCACGTGTAAAACCCCATACACGTGACAGTATTATACGACTGCTAAACAAATACTACATGCAGAGTTGTTTATTTGAGGATGATTACATTATCATTAATATATCAGATGAAGGTGTAAAATATTTGTCAGAGTACAAATCTTTATTAGGGGTTCTGTTGGGAAAATATCTGTATTGTAAAAAGAAGGAATATTTTAAAATAAAAAAAAATATATATTTATTCTGTCGATAAATGACTTTGTAGAAAGATTATTGCCTCTCGGTATGTGACACCATGTAGTCTGATATAAGCTAACCGACATTACGGAGTGACGTACTACCTCCATCTTAATAGTCGAAAAGAAAGCCAAAGAATCAAGCATGCAAACAGCAGGAAGATTTATTTTTACATTTAGTTTTAAAATATTTTTCATATTTTTACCGCTTCAGGTGTGACAGTTCTTAAGAATGTGATATATAGGTGTACATGGAATAATAAGCAATTTGAAAACGATAATTAAAGGAAAAGAAAAATTTTAAATTTTAAAAATTTCCCATCCTTTTTAAAGAAATAATTGTAGATAGAGGAAGAGCGGAAGGTAAGATCCGAGTAGCCGAATTTCATTTTTTTAAAATGTGTCCATTGATATTCGAATTTCGGCAAATTTATTATGAAAGCATATGAATGTAATTAAACAGTTCATCACTAAGTGGAACGTTAGACGACTGCGAAGAAAGACTAAGTTGCCTTAACAGTTTTGGCAGTGTCAGAGCCTAGCAACCAACTTTTCAGAGAATATCAGGAGGACTAACACACAGACCAACAACTATAACAGACTGATAGTAATTCAAAACGGGCTTTGGTATATTCTGTGCAGCACAGAAGACACAAAAGGAGCTACAACTGAAGAATTTAACGCAAGATATTTGAGTACTTCCTTTTTATTTTTGTTTATTTACGGCACTGCCAGAGACTACAGGCCCACGGTATTGAAGCGTAAGATGACAAGTCAAAGAAGAACTAAACAGAATTTGGGGTAATGTGATGACGGCCAAGCTTTGGTGTTTTCCCTACGTTTTCCTAGAGGGACTGAAGAAATCAGGATGAACCTCAAACAGGATAGTCTGTATCCAGGCCAAGATTTGAACTGAAGACCTCTCTAACAAAAGACTACAGCGTTACCGCCAGATCATCAAGGTCGGCGTGACGTCTGTGACAGGCAAATTGTCATGCGCAGTTGAAATTACAGCATTTGAGGTCACGCTTTGTCTGTGGTATCGAAGCTAGAATGTTCTCGTTGAAACATCTACAAGATGGATTTCGTGTTCTTTCTTTGTTAAGTTACTTTGAGACGGAGTATCACTGTTAAGGTCATGCAGCATTGACTCGTGTTTCCAATAATGTAGACGCAAGTAGAAGGAGCTACAAAAGAAATGGAAGAATGTCTTGCGGAGATTCTCCTGTGGATACTTGTCACCGCAAATAATGGGGAAATAATATTATAACGACTTGTTGGAAAGATTCTGGAAGAGGTTTTCTAGGTAATTACGCAGTTTTTATATGTTATAATATATGTACTTTATATATGTGTGTTGCATCTTACTAATCTTGCTGGTCTGGTCAATCAGGTATTTAAAAAAATGTGAAAGCCATGATTTTCAGTGGAAATATTCAATATTAATGGATGTTTTTAACTGAGAGGAATGTGTTGAATAAAATAGTTTATCATACACTTCAAGTACTCTTGTATTTTAAAATGGAAAGTAACAAAGAGTGAACTGTATTTATATAGGTAAATTACATGAATAACCGGTCACGGTAGCCGAGCGGTCTAAGGCATGCACTGTCTTCGCTCGCTCGGAAGCCGGGATCGTGCGTTCGAATCCCACTCAGGGCATGGATGTTTGTGTGCGTTTTCCTGTGTTTGTGTACAGGTAGAGGCCTTGCGACGAGCTGATCACCAGCCCAAGGAGTCCAACCATATGTCTAAGATCTAGTAAACTTAAGTGAAACAGAGAGTTTCATGGAGGTGGGCCTAGGCCCAAATGAGGGCTGTAGCGCAAATGAAAAAAAATTATACAAATGCATATGGGGCCAGCATGTGNTAAGATCTAGTAAACTTAAGTGTAACAGAGAGTTTCATGGAGGTGGGCCTAGGCCCAAATGAGGGCTGTGGCGCCAATGAAAAAAAAATTATATAAATGCATATGGGGCCAGCATGTATTTGAAAAAATGTAGAAAGTATATACTCGTATGTAGTTAGGTGCAAATATGCTTGTGTATGTTGTGTTGTGTTATATATGTATGTACGTACACAGCGTGTCCCAGGAGGAAATGTCAATATTCTGGGAGGTCATAGTATCGTTCATTTTAAGGAAAAAGTTGTACGTGTATATGTACATGTTTCCTATTCTGGTTTCCGAGGTAGACCTATTTAACTGTACAGTACACTGTTCACTGTACAGACGAGCAACACGCCTTGTCCTCACACTAAAAACTAACAAGGAACTGTATACTAAATCTTAGATATTAACCTAATATACACGTAGTTGAAGAACATTCTCAATTTAACCTTTTAAAACTGGATTTATTCTAAATAATATATCAAAATTTATTTCTTATCTCACAGGAAATACAATATGGCTCTGCCACAAAGATCAACTGGTTGATATTGTTTTAGGCAAAGAAAGCCTTTTATTGTAAGAACCACACGAAACACAGAAACACAATCTGTGGACAGAACGAAGAGTTTTGACGTATTAAAACAGTTGGTACATGTAGAACCACGGGTTTTGAAAGGTTCAAAAGCCAGTCGCTTGATTTTATACAATTATGTGGCTCTAAAATCTTTCAAATTTTCATGATATGAGACTGTATTATTCCAGTACTTTTTCTCAAATTGGATTGACTTGGGCTGTAAACCAACAGCTAGATCCTGAACGCATGTAATACTCCATTCTGAAGCTGGAGTTCCCTACCACACATGCCTGTATGCCTCATAGTTCTACATATTAGTAATCAATTGTTTCACTATTTGCGTAATATAGCGTACAGGGTAATGGGTACAAGTTTATACGCGTAAGCTAGTGCTTGTGGATTGAATTTCAAAGTGTAGCACATTCAATTTGTAAAGCTTCGCTATGGAAAATGTTTGGGAACAGAAGCGAGAGACAAGACCAGAGGTACTGTGCCCGCTACATTATTAACTTGTTAGCTAATACAGTGCTGTGATGATTACGCATTGAGAGGCACTGTAGGTAGTTAGTAACCAATACGCTCTGCACTACAATAGTCGCGTAATGAGAACAGCTAGCATGACACGAACAGCTATTAGCGTCCAACGATAATAATGTAATTCTGCCTTTGGCATGTACCCGTGACATATTGTATATCGATGGTGTTAAAGGCGGCAAGATATGAGACAGAAAAAGCTTCTCAGAAGAATTAAATATTCCGACGATATTCATAAGTAGTTACAAGTAATATACATTGTACTGTTAAACTTGTGATTTTTTCGCTGATCGTCCATCTAAGATTCCGTACCACTTTATTAACTAAGGTAAAGATAAAGTTGGGCCGGTCACGGTAGCCGAGCGGTCTAAGGTATGCACTGTCTTCGCTCACTCGGAAGCCGGGATCGTGGGTTCGAATCCCACTCAGGGCATGGATGTTTGTGTGTGTTCTTCTGTGTTTGTCTACAGATAGAGGCCTCGCGACGAGCTGATTACTCGCCCAAGGAGTCCTACCATCTGTGTAAGATCTAGAAAAACCGAAGTGAACGAAAGTTCATGGAGGTAGGCCTAGGCCCACTGGGGCTGTAGTACCAAGGAAAAAGAAAAGGTAAAGTTGTCCCTGTGCTTAATTAATTAAGCACTACGCCATGAATGCGTATGAGGGAATGGCTCTATAAATCCATATTTTCTTGACCTCGACACTAGTTTGAGATGAATGCTTAGTCTCACGACCCTATCGCTTTAATCCGGGGAAAGAACCCCCGGTACCCACTGGATAGGAGGTTGGGTGAGCCCCAGATTCGGTCTGGATGATGTGAAGAATAGAAAATTCTTAAACCTACTTTGAGTCGAACTCCGACCCATCGTTCGTCCAGCCCGTAGCCAGACGCTATACCGACTTTCTCACTTTATAAAATACCTGAGATGGCTCCGTATACTCGTAGAGGGCCTTTTCTGATCACAGTGGCCTCGAGGTCTAAGGCATGAAACGTCTTCGCTCGCTCGAACACTGGGATCGTGGATTCGAATCCCACTCGAGGCATGGATGTTTGTATGCGTTTATTCTGTGTTTGTGTTCTTCTGTGTGTAGGTAATGGTCTTGCGACGGGCTGATCCCCATTCAAGGTGTCCTACCTAATGTGTCTAGTTTAAGGAACTGAAAAAGCGGAATAGTTCTAAGGGGCTGTAGAGCTATAGAGAAAGAAAGGAAAGAGTGGAAATGTTCTTATTTAGAAGCTAATGATCACTCAGTTAGTGACGAAATTCTCTGCCTTTCATTCAACCTGTAGGTCCACTACCCTATTCGCAATATGCTGCTGCACCGTATTCGGACACAGAATAATCCAGCCCACATCACACACCCTATTTATTGAAGATCCGTTTTAATATTATCCTCAAATATGTCCAAAGTGTTTTCATATGTAATTTAATGACGCATTCAGTACAAAGACCCCATAACTGTGGATTGTGGGATGACTGATGAATTACAAAGGATTTGGAAGGCAACTGTAGTGGCCTAGTCCGGGTACTGTGCCGGAATTTTTCTGGAGGGACTGGGGAAGACCATAAAACCTTTAATTAGAATAGCCGGTGTCCCATTCACTTCCCAGATACGAATCTAGAGCGTCTACCCTAGAGAAACTGTTCGGTGCTTAAGTGTTTCCCTTCATGTTGAGTAAATAAAACTCAGTATGTAAGTACAGTATTTCCCGCGTTCTAGCCGCTGGCATATTTAATCTCCCTCTAATCATTATCTTAACAACATTTGGTAAAGGAACAATTTATGAACCTCCTCACATAGTCACAAACTTTCTGTTGCTCCTAAAAGTAAAGCTATCCTTGTAACAGTTCTTGGAAACACAGTATCGTGAGACGTCAAGGTTCCCACATTTCCTAGATAATCGGCTCACGAATGACGGTATATTTATCAACCTTACGCGCCAGCCTCTATTTATCCTCCAAGAAGATCCCTGGTACTCATTTCTGTTAGAGACTAAGTCTACCCCAGGGCCATAGTGCGGCTGGAAAGTTTAGGTCAACTGAAATATCCAATGACTTCATCGGACATCGAACATCAAACCCGCAACCCTCCGGCTTTTAGCATAGTGCTTAAACCAACTGCGATACCACGTACCCTTCTGTTGCTCTTAGTCAGAAATATTCATTTTCCCCAAAATTAATCTTAATAATTAGCAATCACATTACAGACTGTCTCAACACTACTCATCCTCAGCAGACAAAATATAAACCCTAGGTTACCATGGTAACACTGGAACATTAGTTACCGTAATGACAGTGCGGTAACGTAACCATGGCGACAGAGGATTCAGGCATAATACGACTTTCTTTATAGTCCGCTTAAATTAGATTTATGTGTAGCCATGAGCTCAGTCGGTATAACGACTGAGCTACAGAATGGACAACCGACAATTGGGTTTCGATTTCCGGCTAGGGAAAGAGATCCGCTCACTTCTACACAGTGTCCAGACCGGCTCTCGGACCCATTAAACCTACTCTCCAGTAGGTACAGAGACAGGTTCCCTTGGGTAAAGCGACTGGGACGTGAAGCTGGCGCCTCACACTCATTCGGAGCCAAGGTTAAGAATCCTTGAAGCTATATTTCCGGTTCACCATATGTCTTCATGCCATAATGCGTATTAAGCACAGTGACAAATTTATCTTTTATACACAAAGATAAGTAGACCACAGTGGACGCGCGGTCTAAGGCACGACCCGTCTTCGCCCTTTCCAACACTGGGATCATGGGTTCGAATCCCATTCGAGGCATGCACGTCTGTGTGAGTTTATTCTGTGTTTGTGTTGTTCTGTGTGTAGGTGCGACAGGCTGATCCCTGGTCTAAGGTGTCCTACTGACTATAGGATCAAGAAACTGAAAAAGCGGCCAAAGTCCATAAGGAATTTATAGCCATAGAGATACAGAGATAAAGAGAGACATTTGAAATACAGTTGAAAGGAAACATGGAAATGCAGCGTGGATGCTGATTGCAATTTGTTATCTTTGTTTTCTGCTCGCACGCGTTAATTAATCAGTCTTCTTCTGTCTCAGAATTAATTTTGACAGAGATTAGGCTAATATTTCTCGAGTTTATATGGTATGTTTCAGGGTTGTTATTCCATTGTATTATCTGTACCATCACAAAATGGTACGCAACAACAAAAACACAAATCAACATTCAGTTCGTTAGAGTATTAAAAGTCCTATGATCAGATTCCGTATGAACCACTAAAATGCACACCTTAAAATGTGTGGGCACCATAATGAGAACATTTTTATTACATGAACACAT